TCTTAAAGCTCTAATATGACCATTGGTGGTCCACTATACATCTTCTATACCTTAAATGGAAGAACACATGTACAAGTATAGATTTGATCAAAAATGCAACAACCAGTAAGCATAAAACTCAATATATGAGGAACTACATGTTACTGCTGAAAGCTAAAATGACCAATTTTTGTCCTTAAATGTCTTATTTCTAGGCACTAGTATACCAATAAAGGTTCTGAAATATCTTAAAAACATTAGATAACACATAATATTGATATAGAATAGCTACAACTTTGTTAAAGTTTATAATTTCAAGTTTATTTTACTTTTTCATATTTTTCGGTAATTTTTCATAATAAATGGGGTAGGGGAGATCTGAAAGGTCTAATATGACCATTGGTGGACCAATATACATTTTTTGTATCTTAAATGGAAGAAGAACAGATTTGATCAAGATTGCTACAACCAGTCAGCATAAAACTCAAGATATAAGGAACTATATGTTACTGCTGAAAGCGAAAATGATCAAAAATGCCAAATTTTGTCCTTAATTATCTTATTTTTAGACACTAGTACACTAATGAAGGTCCTGAAACATCTGAAAAACATTAAATAATACATAGTGTTAATATTAAATAGCTAGTGTTTGAGTTGAACATTTTGACTTTTTGTAGTTTCAATTTTTTGCCAATTGTTTCTAAAAAATTCAAGATATGTCTTCTTCGGACCAGAATTTAGATATGTTCGCAAGAGTTATATGCTTCGCAGGCAAAATCCCTTATGCAGGAAACCCTAATAGAATGAAAAAACACACGGTGAAAAATATCGCACCCTTGAACAGAAATGGCCGTCTTAACATTTATCCAGAATGTCGAAAAACTAATCAGTTCTAAACTTTCATAGGTAGAAACATCCCTGAGAGAAACATCCCTGAGAATTTCAAATGAATCCCTCAAACGGTTTGGCTGGAAACCTGTAGACAAGCCTAGACAGACAAGATTTTAGGATGGAAAATCCAAAATGGCTGCCTTAACATTTACCCAGAGTGCCGAAAAACTAATCAGTTCTAAACTTTCATAGGTAGAAACATCCCTGAGAGAAACATCCCTGAGAATTTCAAATGAATCCCTCAAACGGTTTGGCTGGAAACCTGTAGACAAGCCTAGACAGACGAAGATTTTAGGATGGAAAATCCAAAATGGCCGCCTTAACATTTACCCAGAATGCAAAAAAACAAATCAGTTCTAAACTTTCATAGGTAGAAACATCCCTGAGAATTTCAAATGAATCCCTCAAACGGTTTGGCTGGAAACCTGTAGACAAGCCTTGACATACAAGATTTTAGGACGGAAAATCCAAAATGGCCACCTTAACATTTACCCAGAATGCCGAAAAACCAATTAGTTCTAAACTTTCATAGGTAGAAACATCCCTGAGAATTTCAAATGAATCTCTCAAAAGGTTTGGCTGGAAACCTGAAGACAAGCCTTGACAGACAAGATTTTAGGACAGAAAATCCAAAATGGCCGCCTTAACATTTACCCAGAATGCCGAAAAACTAATCAATTCTAAACTTTCATAGGTAGAAACATCCCTGAGAATTTCAAATGAATCCCTCAAACGGTTTGGCTGGAAACCTGTAGACAAGCCTTGACAGACAAGATTTTAGGACGAAAAATCCAAAATGGCCACCTTAACATTTACCCAGAATGCTGAAAAACTAATCAGTTCTAAACTTTAATAGGTGGAAACATCTCTGAGAATTATAAATGAATCCCTCAAACGGTTTGGCTGGAAACCTGTAGACAAGCCTTGACAGACAAGATTTTAGGACAGAAAATCCAAAATGGCCGCCTTAACATTTACCCAGAATGCCGAAAAACTAATCAGTTCTAAACTTTCATAGGTAGAAACATCCCTGAAAATTTCAAATGAATCCCTCAAACGGTTTGGCTGGAAACCTGTAGACAAGATTATTCGGGATGCCCGCCCGCCCGCCCAATCGCCGCCCGCCCGGCAAACTGATTTCAATATAGCACCTTAGGGTGCGATAAAAATACAAAGAAACTCCATCCAGCTCACAAAGTCATTTTTTGCACTATTCTCACACCTTCCACCTCGAGTAAATGTTATAGGTAAATAACATTCAGGAATATGATTGATATCTTAAGGGGAGGCATCAAAAGATCAATGTCTGATAGAAAACTAAATAAATCTAGTTTAGGGGGGAGGGGGTCAAAGCTATTTCAGTTTGCTATCCGACAAATTTCAACATTTGAATTTTTTTGCAATTTCGACTCGAAATGCCTTGGAATGGTTTGAAAATAAAGACTTTACCAGATGCCTTCTTCACCAAGATGCATGCAACATGGAATATTATGCCTATTGTTGATGGCACATGTTTTATGAATCATAAATAAGTTATAGTACTACCCCCAGGAAAGTCCAAATTGAGTCGCTAAAACATGTGAAAAGTCCGTGATCAACTTTCATTATATTTAGTTTTGAGGGGGAGGGGGGGGGTCCAGCTCAAAACTAGATTTATTTAGTTTCCTATCAGACATTGAACTTTTGATGCCTCCCCTAAGTGAGCGGGTGACTGGGATTTTGGAATCTGGGACTTTCCCCCTCTTTACAATGCGCATGGATGCTCGCCGCAAAATGTATCTGTTGCTATTTTGTTGATGTTCATGAAGCAGCGATGTCACAAGTAAATCTGAACTTGCATTTGTGACTTTAGAATGAAAGATGGCAATATCTTTGCAAGGGGTAAGGATGGGTGTATCTTGGTTTGTCATCTGAGAAATTTCAATCTTTACTTGTGTGTAAATATTTTCGAAAGAAATGCATGATATATACACATATTTTGTACCAAATGCGTGACATTACATTTTGAGTTACAGCAAAAATCGTAAAATAACAAGTAAAGGCATTTTTCAAGATGGCTGCCATGTGCTTCTTTAATATCTACATTTCTAGCTTTATTAATGCCCTATATAATTTTTTTTACATATTGCACCAGAAAATTTCGAACGGAATGCGTGACATATACGTAATTCGCGTGAAAAGTCCGAACGAAATGCGTACGTTTTTTTTACGACATTCGTATTTTTGCTGTGTAGACGATCTTTTTTAGAAATTTTTCTACAGAAATATCTTTGCTTGACAATTACCAGGTAAAATGCGTATTTGCGTGACATTTTCTGTCACGCAAAAATAACTGGCGTGACTTCAAATTCTTCAGCAAATGCGTGACAAATACGCAAATTGCGGGACAGTTGACAGGCCTGTATATCCCTCAGAACTTCGTTTTATGGGATAATAATTTGAAGCAAGTTGAAAAAATACCTTTTTGACCTTTTTTGACCTTCACTAATATACATCTTTCCACCAAATATGAAAAAAATCTGTTGACTAGTATTCGAGTTATCTTCCAGACAGACGGACGGACAGACGGACGGACTGACTGGACGGACGGAGGGCTTCACTATATCCCTAAAGAACTTCGTTGGTTGGGATAATTAAGTATCTTGGGCCTTTAATGAAGTTCAATGCGTGACAGTTGATTCACTTCTGTCAGAAAGGAAACTAAAGAAGACAAGATAAACTTTCCAATGGTGCATTGATCGTTGTATATGAGGCTAGGTATTTCAAATCATAAAAATGTACGTAATGTTAATTGTCAGTTCGTTAAAATATTTCATCATCTATAACACAATGCGTTACATTTATTTCAATTCAATTTACTGTATTTTCTTTCACATTTTTATCCTGTTTTTCTGCCCTCGAGAAGGGATCCTTGAATTAAAGACTAGACAACATGGAATAAATGTTAGAATTTTGGCAGCAACTTTTTTTAAACTAAATCAGACATCCTATGACATAAGACATAATTAAATATAGTTAAATTGACTGGAGGTCAAAACAGAACTCTGTTATCTTTGTTCAAAAAAATGTCTAAAAATGCAAAATGTTTTGTCACTTCCTGTTTCATCATTTCCTGTTAAGTATCATTACACCTTAAACGTATTCTTATAAACTATTGAGTTGTTTTCCGAATAAATAGAGGGGCAATAGACAAACAAATGGGTGGCTTTTCTATCGCTGATGACAGGTTGTTCTTATCTTAAAATACATGATCTCTCGTTTGTAAAGATTTTCGTCAATTCTAATTATTGAATATCATGTATCAAAACTTAAAAACTGTCTTATATTTTACTCCAAATAAACTTTAAATATGTGTTCGATTGCTAATTTGTCTACATCAATTAAGTTGCGCTTGCATTTTCTCATAAAAGTTACACGCAGATAGATACACAAAGGAACATTTTACAATGTGCTTCGATATTATGGCATTCGGTACAACACCTCTCGGTACAATGCAGGGGCGGATCCAGGAACCAACAAGGGGGGGGGCCCAAATTTCAGGTCAGAGAAAAAACGTCCGCGCTTGCGCGAAAAAAAATTTTGGGCCCCTAAAATCCAAAAGTGGGCCCAAATTTTGAAATTTTGAGGCCCATTTTCTTCAAAATTTGGCCTGAAATTAACAAATAAGGCCTTAAAAGGCCCAGTAATGACCAAAAAGGCCCACTTTTTGGGGCCTGAAGGCCTTGTTTGGCCCAAAAATTTTTTTGGGCCCAATTTTTTTTTTCTGGGCCCACCCAAGGGGGGGGGGCCCGGGCCCCTGGGCCCCCCCCCCTAATCCGCCAGTGCAATGCGCGTCGGTATAATGGGTTTCGGTGTAATGCGCGGACCCCAATAAATATTGGTGCTAATAAGTGCACTTTGGTGCAGAGCATAGGCCAAGGGTAATCTCTTCTATATACAGCTTACTATTACTTTTCCCTTGGCCTATGGTGCAGAGCTCTGGTGCACCAAGTGTGCACCAAACTGCACTTATGTTTACCTAGAGAAACCGACTGAACTAACACTGAATAAGCCCCCCCCCCCTTTTACACACAGGTATGTATATCTCCCAAGAGATAGCTTTGTGCAAACTAAGTATTGTAAATACTCACCCAAGTTTCTTAGGACCTTTTGCAGCAGTTTTGATAAATGCTTTGCAAATAGCAGAAGAAAAACTAAAGCTACAGTACACCTGGTTATCCAGCGTCTAAGTATTATTGCTACACAACTGTCTTATCACAAACATATGTGCATATTACATGACCTTTGATCAACAGAATGATATTTCAAGAGCTTCGGATTGTCGTCTTGAGTTGAGGGCCTTGGGTCTAAAGATATGCCGTTGAGCTGACCTCATCAAATAAGTACTAACATATAAAGCTATAAAGCTTCATAAAGCTTCATATAAACATATAAAATCTCATCGGAATGATAAATCATATATTGAATCATTGATGGCTAACTATATTTTCATAACAGTAGTCCACACTCTATTTTCTTCGTCGCAGATTATCTTACCATTTTTGTTTACTCTGAGTTGAGTGACAACTTTTGTTCTTTCCATCGGAAGTTGTAAAATGGCAGGAAAGCATGCGCCGAAATCTAAGAAAAAGCCGAAAGCTGGTAAGTGTAGGTATCTTAGTAAATATTGAATGTTATATATTGAGGAGTCAGGAGGACACACCATTGGTACGAATCCTAATGATCCGAATCTACGCTCTGACTGTTACAGTAACATTTTTAGTCAGGGTGCTTGTTCGGAATTTTTAGGAATGTACTAAAAACCCTTCGACCTACGACCCTTCGACCCTACGACTTACTGGGTGTCAAGAATTTTTGGAATATATTTTATTGAAAAACCCTTCGACCTCTGATTTCCCAGTCCAGTTTACTAAATGATTACGTATAGTTCCAACTTGAGCTCCCTGTGCACGCAAATACGCATTTTACTTATCGCATCCTACGACCCCTTTAGATTGTGGTCGTAGGCCCGTTTCATTGGTAAGCCTGTCTTTCTACAATGTCGGAGAATGAACTACGCATTGCACTATAAATGACCTACAGTGATTTTTTTTATTCTGGGAATCAGTTCATATGGTTGAAATAAGGAAAGAATGTGATGTAACCACGTGTCTACTTACCGGCTTGTTCTATGTCATCCATCAGACTAGGTTACATCGTGGAAAGCAGCCAAACACGACAATGAAGCCAGTATTCTGAGGTTATAAAATCTAAATCTAAATAATTTCCCATTTGCAGCCCCTTGGACATTTCCGGAATTGAACAAAGTAGCGAACGTTGCGATCTTTTAACTTTAGTTCGTTCTTTTTCACCACCTTAGGTGTAGTGTTTTCATTTAGGAGGCGGTCTTATTTGAATGCATCATTTCAGGTCTTTATGAATCAATAGATCAATAAGCAGACTAAAAATACAATTTAGCAGTTTCTTTCATTGCGTAAGCTTACTGCGCCTGTTAGGCACGAAAAACAATTTAGCAGTTTCGTTCGTTATTGGGCCTTGTATAATCAGTAGCAAATGCTCGGAAAACATTTTCCAAAATATTTACTTCCGTTTTCCTTGAAGACATGGTTGGGAGACACGTCATTGACACGTCATTAAGTCACATGATCGGTACAGTAACTAGTCACGTGATCAGACACGTGTCACGTGTCAGTCACATGAGCTTGCAAAATGGACGATCTAAATTTCCAAAAATTCGGCTAAGATCAAGATAGATATGCTGTTGCCTTCAGTGTCGTGTTTGGCTGCATTCCACGATGTAACCTAGTCCGATGGATGACATAGAACAAGCCGGTAAGTAGACACGTGGTTACATCACATTCTTTCCTTATTTCAACCATATGATCTGATTCCCAGAATAAAAAAAATGACTGTACCTCGATACATTCCAGAGTATTTTAAAATTCTTTTTATGTTGTCAGATCGCCAATTGTATGGGTTTATCGGCAGAACGAAGAGATTTAAGTTTTTACATCGGAAATATCTCAGCAATTTTCAAAATGTCGGAAGGGGAATTCCCCAGGGATTTCCCTTATGACTGGTGCATGCCGGGAACTGAATGGAGGAATTTGACGGTTGAAATAAGTTAAACCTGCACATCGCTCAAAAACGCAATATGTTGACATATATTGTTTTTACATTTTCAAGCTCTAATATAAAGTTTATGTAAATAAAAATTGTTTTTTTCTGCGTAATATCAAAGAACAATCATTTAGTTAAAAAATAAAAAGGCGAATGCGGGATTCGAACCCGGGCCTCCGGCATGCTCAGCGAGGATACTACCGCTACACCACCGTAATATTCTGAATGGTGAAGTAATTAAAAGCTACTTATTTTGAATGCTATGATTCGGAAGTGACGTCACATTCTTCATTTAGAAACCTTTCCAAAATCATATCGCCGGCTCCGATCGAAGCAAATTCAATGAAAAATCTTTGAAATGACACATTTATCGTAAGTATTTCTACACAAGATTTGCCCCATTTGTTCATCATTCTATAATCTTTCATTAAGCTCAAAATGATAAAGTTCACCCCCGAAACAAACAACCCAAGATTGCGTTTCGGAGCGTAGTCCAGCTTTAAATATTACACGCAAATATTGCTATCAAAAACGAAAATATCTTCGTTCTGCTGATAAACCCATACAATTTGCGATTCAACTATATGAAAAGAATTCTAAAATACTCAGGAATGTATCGAGGTAGGTCATTTATGTGTGCAATGCATAGTTCATTCTCCGACATTGTAGAAACACAGGCTTACTAATGATGCGGGCCTACGACCACAATCTGCGATAAGCATTTTACCTGGTAACTGTCAAGCAAAAATGTTTCAGTAGAAAAATTTCTAAAAAAGTTCGTCTACACCTAGGTCTACACAGCAAAAATACGAACGCCGAAAAAAAAACGTACGCATTTCGTTCGGACTTTTCACGCGAATTACGTATATGTCACGCATTGCGGTCGAAATTTTTATATTGTTTTTACATTTTCAAGCTCTAATATAAAGTTTATGTAAATAAAAAAAAAAAATTATCTGCGTAATATCAAAGAACAATCATTTAGTTAAAAAAATAAAAAGGCGAATGAGGGATTCGAACCCGGGCCTCCCGCGTGCTCAGCGAGCATTCTACCGCTGGACCACCATAATATTATGAATGGTGGAAGTAATTAAACGGTACTTATTTTTAATGCTATGATTCGGAAGTGACATCACGTTCTTCATTTAGAAACCTTTCCAAAATCATATCGCCGGCTCCGATCGAAGTCCAGCTTTAAATATCTTTAACTCTCTTGGGACAGATTCTTAATTTCTATACACAAAGTAATATTTCCAGCAACTTCATATGGACTGAGAAATATCTAGAAGGTCGAAGGGTTTTTATAAAAATATATTTCAAAAATTCTTGACACGCTGTAAGTCGTAGGTCGCAGGGTCGAAGGGTCGAAGGGTTTTTAGTACATTCCGAATTTTTATCCAAGTCTGAAATTTTTTGAAATTTGGAATGGAAATATTCAGACTATAGCCCAAATATGTTAAAACTATCAACGATTGTTTATATATCTTGTATGAATTCGGAACTTATATCCTATATTGTAAAATATGCATAAGCCAGTTGCTTGATTATTAAAATAATTCGTAGTGTCTTGCTTCAGAAGCATGATACTATAATCAGATGATAAAACTACGTATTACAAATATTGTAAAAGAACAAAACATGAAAATTAACCTTCCTTGATTTGTATTATATTTGTTTGCACACTTCTTTAATCTGTTAATGCAACTATTGTATACATGGAAGTTAACAGGAAATGACAAAACAAAAAATGTCAAAACCATGCTGGATTTTGAAAATTTTTTGAACCAAGATAACAGAGTTCTGTTTGGACCTCCAGTCAGTTTAACTTTACTTCGGTCCAAAGCCTTCTCTATATTCCGGCTTTGAGTAGAAAGATTGAGCTGCCTTGGTATTGTAAATATTGTAAATCATTGTGTCACACGCACAGTGAATACGGCATAATAATATGAAATATACCTCTATGTATAGATTTGAGAAACATCAGCACACATCTCTGTCTGAATCAATTGTTATATTTGATTTCTTTAAGCGAGAATAATTTCAAAGTTTCCTCCATTCGGAACCGGAAGCCATTTTTAGCTACAGCTGAGAAAATTTCACCATGTGTCTAACTCCGAAGAGAAATTTTGAAATATCTAAATCCAGACAAGCAACGCTTCATCCTAAATATAATTAATATTCTTAAAAATATTTATAAAATTTATTAAAAATAATTTCTAGGTGCGTGTAGCAATTTTTACATACGAAATACGAGTACATACGAAATCAATGAAGTTACATCTAGCTGTAAGCTAGAGACTCGAGTAAGTTTAACTAGTTCCACATATCATTTACATGACCGGGAACACAATGAAAATGGTCAGAATGACCATAAACATGATGAAATAACCTTTTCAGCCCTCTGAAAATGTGACTGAAAAATAGCTAAAAGTATGTGCTCAGGAAAGGTCAATGAACAGAATCTTTTTATTATTATTATTATTAGCTCACATGGTGAGCTTTAGCAATCGCTCACTTGTTCGTCTGTCTGTCCGTCTGTCTGTCCGTCTGTCTGTCTGTCTGTCCGTCAAGAATAGTGGCACGTTCTAAAACCTCTGTCGATAGGATTCCTGTTTTAAGTTATTTCTGTTCAACATCAATACAGAAAACTCCCCTATGACTCCTGGTTCAAAAGCTCGCCTATTTTCAAAATGGCCGCCATTTTTGTCTCGCGAAATTCACTTTTGACCCATTTCCTAGAAAACCTCTGTCGATAGGATTCCTGTTTTAAGTTATTTCTGTTCAACATCAATACAGAAAACTCCCCTATGACTCCTGGTTCAAAAGCTCGCCTATTTTCAAAATGGCCGCCATTTTTGTCTCGCGAAATTCACTTTTGACCCATTTCCTAGCTTTACAAATAATTTCAGGTGTCCTACATTGTAAAAATCCATGTCAATGTAAAGAGTAGATATATGAAATAATTTTGTTACAAAAAATCAGCGAAAAATTCTATCCATTTTTTTATTTTCAGCCATTTTAGTTAACATTGATTTGTCCATCTGACTCGCGAAATCCACTTTTTCGTCAACAACAGTGGCACGTTTTAAAACCTCTGTCGATAGGATTCCTGTTTTAAGTTATTTCTGTTCAACATCAATACAGAAAACTCCCCTATGACTCCTGGCTCAAAAGCTCGCCTATTTTCAAAATGGCCGCCATTTTTATCTCGCGAAATTCACTTTTGGCCCATTTCCTAGCTTTACAAATAATTTCAAGTGTCCTACATTGTAAAAATCCATGTCAATGTAAAGAGTAGATGTATGAAATAATTTTGTTACGAAAAATCAGAAAAAAATTCCATCCATTTTTTTATTTTCAGCCATTTTAGTTAACATTGATTTGTCCATCTGTCTCGCAAAATCCACTTTTAGGACCATTTGCCTTAAACCCTCTGTCGATAGGATTCCTGTTTTAAGTTAATTTTTTTCAACATCAATACAAAAAACTCTCCTATGACTCTTGGTTCAAAAGCTCGCCTA